ATATATTTTTCAGTCTTCAATAATAATCATACTTCTGTATGGGGATCATATTGGGCTGACGGTTATTGGGGATATAAATGTTGTCGCTCTTTTATTAAAAATTCATATTGTACGGGTCTGGCTGGTATCGAAGCTGCAAATGCTTCTAATCTCTTGACTGCTTCAGAGATTCAAAATGAAGAAGAGTCTTCAAATAAAAAATCCCTTGTTGAAATTCATTTAGAAAATATGAAAAAATCTAAATCTAAAAACGTTGATGACACGAATAAGCATCTAAAACGTAAGAATCTTGGTGAAGGTGATATTCAATTGGACACTAAAAAACTTAAAAAGGCGTTGGAAGAAGAAGAGAGACGAAACAAAATAAAGAAATCTGATTTTAATCTCGACGATAGAAAACGACCTTACAATAGTGCCTATATGGGTGGTCACGATAAAATCGATTCTGATATTACTGAAGAGGAATTGGAAGCATATCGATTGAAAAAACAATCGTAAGTATAATTACTTGATATTCTCTTTTAGAAAGATTTTATTCTGACCGCCTTTAACTTTTGTTAATATTGTATAGTTACGAGGATCCCATGGCAAATTATGTTGATGAAGAGTAGAGTTTAGAACCGGGTTATAGTAATTTTGTGAATAAACACCCTTTTTCTCTTACTAATTTATCTAAATGTTCAATCCCATTAATCTGGATTTAAAAAAAACGTTCCAAATTTTGGAGGCTATACGGACTATCTATTGCGAAAATTTTGTTAAAAATTTTCCTTTGCATAAATCTTCATTATTTTCTTTGCTATATAATATGTAATACTCTTTGCTCGACACGAATGGCGTGATCGTCAATAACTCATAGAGGGGGATCACCAACATTTCGGGTCGGTCACTAAAAACTGAGTATCCTTATGTTAACGTTAAGAAAATGGATCTGCAAAATTTCGGCTCGGAACCAATAAAAATTGCAGAATTTTGAAGATCTTCGTGTAACGTAAACACAAAAATTCAGCAGATCGGTCCGGCGTTGATAAGCTGCCCAGATGATAATTTTGGTATAATATAGTTAGTTGTTGTTATTTCTTAATGCTAGCCTAAATCCAACAAAATCTGATTTATAATTTGGGCCGATTTGCTGAATTTTTGTTTTTCAGCTAATCTATTTATAAACAAATACTAACCCTAATGTTAAAAAAACTGTAAATAACAACCAGCTATATACTTTTAAGTACAAGTATGTAGCATGAAATTTTACATATAGCAAAGCTGTTTTATATTAAAATAAACAAAAAAAGATATATTATTATCGAAATTGTTTTATATTAAATATAGATCATTTTCTTAATATAAGAAAAATTTTAAAAACTTTACTAATGAAGTCACAGCCTATTTATTATGTAAAAATATCTGATGTAACAATTTAATTTTATAATCTTACTTTTTTTTGGAATAATTGATTATTTAATTAAATTAGTATTGTGATTGTTAAAATCCTTGAAGAAGGTAGTATACATATTAACATGATAGTTGATATTATAAAGTAGGTTTCAGAATATGTTCTTTTTCACAATCTAAATATACAAAAGTAAAATATTTGTTTTAATAAACAAAAGAACCTTATTTTTATACTAAAGTAATATAGACATAATGATATTCTCTCCTTAATTTCACATTATTATTAAGTTATTCTAATATGATGCAGGACATCTAGTTACATCATAGTGCTGAATTTTAAAATCTATATATAAATATATATAGTAGCACTGAATTTTAAAAATATAGTGCTGAATTTTAAAAATTTATATAATAAATTAATAGTGCTGAAATTTTTAAAGTGCAAATAAAAAAAAAAGAAAGAAATGCTGAATTTAGTAAAAATTTATAAAATAAATACTGAATTTTAGCAAAATATATAATATAAGTGCTGAATTTTAGTAAAATAAAGTGCTAAAAATTTTAAATTTAATATAAATTTAAAGAATTTTTAAACTAAAATAACTTTTTAATAAAAAGGTTTTTTTAAAAAAACTCTTTATATTTATATTCTTTAGGTTTCAAAGAATATTAATATAGAAAGATTTTTTTAAAAATAATTATTAGTTAAAAAGTTATTAAACTTTTAGTGCAAACAATTATTTTGTGATATGACTAGATATCCTGCACCATACCAAAATTTTGTAAGAAATTTTTTTTATTAGAATATAAAAAGTGGTTTCATAAACAAAATTTTGAATTATTAAAGATTTTTAAAAAAATAACAAAGTTTGTTTTAATATTTATGTTATATCTAATCTTGATATTACACTGCAAATCAATAATTTTATTGGTTAAAATTAATATAGTATTGAGCATCACTAGTATGATTTAGTAAAACTGTTTTAAAAAATCTATTTTATCTCTATTAGAGCAAATTAATTTTTTTTATATAATTAAATCTAAGGCTATGCAAAATTAATTAATTGGTTTTCATAACCTGGCTGGATTAAAATTTGAAAACTTGTAAAAAATTTTTTTTATATGTTTTAATAACCGAGTAGGTTTTTTAAAAATTTTTTAAAAAAATTTTATAAAATTTTTATATATGAAAATTAAAAAAAAGCTAGCTAGCCAGGTTTGTTTAAAAGTTTTATATTATGAAAACCAAGATATTAAATTTGTGTAGTCTAATTTATATATTTATATTATTTATAATTTATCTATTTAAAAAATATTAAAAATTTTGTTTTTTAAATAAAGTAGAGTTTTAATTTTGGGTTTTAGATTTTAAAATAATTTTGTTAATATATATAATTTTGAGTATATAAATTAAATAATATGTTATGATTCGCTATTTATACAATATATACAATATATAAAAATTAATTAATCAATTATATTTTTTATTTTTACAAGAAAATAATAAGGAAAAACAATTTATATAAATTTTTTAGAAAATTACTATGTACTACTACTGATATTTAATACTAGTTTTAAGTTTTTATTAAAATTTAAAGTTAGAATATATTTTAAAACTAAGATAGAAATTAGTTATAATAGTTTAAATTTTATATTATACAAGATTTTAGAAGTTTAAAATATTTTTATTTAGTATAGTCTCTAATATTACCAAATATAAAAATTGATTTACTATTAATAAAAAACTATTTTAAAATTAATTTATTTATAATATAAGATACTTAAAGGTTTTACAAACTTTAAATACTAATAATATTTAATAAAAAACAATATTATAAACAACAGGCTGCTATTTTGTAGTTTAATCAATTTACTATAACTTGCAGTTTTATTTTTTAAAAAATTATTGTATAGTTTTTTAATTAATGAATTTAAAAATACAGTATAGTATTTTTTATATGATTTGTTTTTTTTTTTTTTTTTATATTTAGGTAACTTCTTGGGGGCCTGTCTCAGTTTGTTTATTTCTCATTTCAATTATCATGATACCAAATAGGTCTCTTTTGACTTTGTTACATCAATGAGAGTACAATTGGTTACACATACAACTTAGTCATTATCTAATTAAGGCTCTGTTATACTATCTATAGTTACTCACCAATTGCCATATCTAGGATCTGCTTGTAGATCCCCTATTTAAACCCTCTGATCGACTTAGCGCTGTCAGATACTTTCTCCAGAAGAATTCCTGCTGCTAAGGCCCCTTAGAACTACTTTATCATCGTGGTAAACCTACCAGAGAGTCCATATTCTATATATATATCATCTAGGTTTTTTGGTAACTTATGCCCAATCTGAGGACTGGTACTTGTAGCTTTTGTGGCTGCTATCATTACCTACTCCTTGCTCTTACAAGGTTCATTTTGATTCTGATACTTACTTTCAATCGGTCTTTATACTAATTCCTCCTCAACTACTAAATCCAGTTAGCCCAGAAGGGTTATTGTACCTAGGCTCTAAGTGCCTTCTAGTG